CTGTATATAACTTCTGACTCCCCAAAAACTTAACTCCTAATAGCCTATTGTTGGCTGGAAGCCTTCCTAAAAACACAAACCATCAATAAACACATTATTTTGTATGTTAGGTATATTATATACTATATTCTTACAATAAACTAGAGAAAAGAAAATATTAAGATAATCATAAGGAAAAGAAAATACACTGATAGTATTATGTTGTATTTACCAAAAATCATCTGCCTATAAATGTACCCATACAGTTGAAAACCATGTTGTTCAAAAGTCAACTATATATCAATGAATTAAAAAGCACTTGATAAGTCACCATTCATTTATTATTTATTTTAAGATTTTATTTATTTATTTTGACAGAGAGAGACACAGCGAGAAAGGGAACACAAGCAGGGGGAGTGGGAGAGGGAGAAGCAGGCTTCCCGCGGAGCAGGGAGCCCAATGCGGGGCTCGATCCCAGGACCCTGGGATCACGACCTGAGCCGAAGGCAGACGCTTAACGACTGAGCCACCCAGGCACCCCAAGTCACCATTCATTTATGATAGAAACTTAGGAAACTAGGAATAAAAGAAAACTTCCTTAACTGATAAAAGGTAGCTAACAAAACCTAGAATAAACATCACACTTAGTTATGAAATACTGACGGTTTGTCCCTGACACTGGGAGTGAGACAAGTATAAAGAACTCCTACAGCACTGCATATTATATAAGACTGATGGATCACAGACCTGTACCTCTGAAACCAATAATACATTATATGTTAATTAACTGAATTTAAATTAAAAAAAATTTTTTTAAAAAGAACTCCTACAAACTAATAAGACAACACAATAAAAATATGAGCAAAAGTTTGGAACAGGCACTTCAGAAACGATGATATGCAAATGACCTACAAACTACGAAAAGGTACTCAACTTCATTAGTCATCAGGATTTGAATGAAGGTTTGAAAAATTAAGCAACAAAAAAAAAGCAGTACTTTTCTCCCACGTAGAAGGAATTAAAGAGGGACAACAGCTGAAATAGGATATTCTAATGCACTTAAAACATCCAATGGCAAGTGGAACATAAGATCCTGCTCACATTCAGCTGACAGGAAAAACATAATCTTATTTTCAACATTTATTAAGCATTTACAGTGTAACAAGAATTATGGTAATTATCAAGACCAGTAAAGATCAGGCATCTTTTAAAAAAAATCCTCAGAATGTAAAGATAGGAAGAAGGCATCCTGGAATATATGAAGGTAAAAAGGGACGGATCTGGGTACCAGAAAACGTACAGGATTCTTTTTTATTTTTTTAAGATTTTATTTATTTATTTTGAGGGGGGGAGGAGCATGCGCATACGGGTGGGGCGGGAGGGGCGGCAAAGGGAGATGGAGAAGCAGACTCGCCACTGAGCAGGGAGCCCAACGTGAGGCTCTGTCCCAGGGCCCCGGGATCATGACCTGAGCCCAAGGCAGATGGTTAACTGACTGAGCCACCCAGGTGCCCCAACATATAGGATTCTATCCTAAGTTTGTACTGACAGACTATGTTAACCCTGGACAAACTTTTTTTAGGCTTTAGGTTTCACTTCTGTAAAATCAGGTGGCTGGAATAAATGATTTCCAAAAATTTTTTTGAAGTTCCCAAACTCTGTGATACTAATGGTAAAGCCACCAAAGCTATCTTTCCTTGGAAGGTCTTACACGCTTTTGTTTTAGAATCTCAACCATTACCACAGCATTTTGAAGACATCCCCCACCCCCCCACCCCCCAGGGCATAGAGTGTAATTTAATAAGAACTAGCTAATATTGGTCAATAGAGACAACAATGTCTTGAATTGTGACATTTCTACAGCTAGAAAAAGACAGACAGTCGGGATATAATTTCTAAAAGTAATGTAAGTCTCTCTATAAGTAAAGCTTTCTAATTTGTTTAAGATACCAAAGCTCATTAACACTTGAATCTTTGGTTATCTTTGCTATTAGAAAGGACACATCAGGCATAATATCTAAATAATGAAGAATTTCTACTTAGTGGAAAAAGCCATGGGATATGGTATCAGACAAATATAGGTCTAGCTTTGCAACTTACTATCTGTGAGATATATTGAACAAGTCACTTAAACTTTCCAACCTCAGTTTCTCACTGGAAATTGTGGATAAAAACAATAAAAATAATAGCTCCCCAAACCCAAGGTAAACTGAAAGTAGGATGCTTTACTGGACAAGGAAGGAGATGCCTGATCATGTTATATAAATATGGCAGACATGAGGATTGAGTGATCATATCTAAAATTTACCTTGTCCAAAACGGAAGTCTTGATTTTCCATACGCCCAACTGTGCCTCTCTCTCAGACTTTCCCATTGTACTAAATGATCAAGCCTAGGAATAAACCCTGATTTTCTTTTCCATACCATCTCCAACACTTAATTTATCAGTAATTCTGTCAGGCCTACCTCCAAAATGTCTTTTTTTTTTTTTTTTAAAGATTTTATTTATTTATTTATTTATTTATTTGGCAGAGAGAGAGAGCGCATGCACACAAGCGGGGAGGGGGGTGGCAGGCAGAGCAGGCAGAGGGAGAGGGAGAAGCAGGCTCCCTGCTGAGCAAGGAGCTCGATGCGGGACTCGATCCCAGGACCCTGGGATCATGACCTGAGCCAAAGGCAGACACTTAACCCACCCAGGCGTCCCCAGAATGTATTTCTGACTAGTTTCCCCTGTCTTCATTGCCAATACTCAAGTCCCAGCTGTCATCACCTCTCACCCAGATCCTGCAACAGACTTCACCATGCTTCTGCTTTACTCCCCCTTCAGTGGAGCATTCACCCAGCAGTCAGGGTGGTCTTTTAAAAATGGAAATCAGATCATATCACTCCCTCTAACCGCTTTCCACTGCAACCAAAATAAAATCTAAATTCTTTAGATGGCCTGCAAGGCCTTATATAATCTGGCCCCTCCCACTTCTCTGACCTCACTTATTCTATTTATTTATTTATTTTGCTCCTTTCCCCTGTTCACTTAGGATCTAGACCTGTGCTACCCAACATGGAGCTACCAGCCACATATGGCTATTTAAATTTAAATTTAATTAAAATTCAATTCCTTAGTTACATAGCCACATTTCATGTTCATAATTGGTCACATGTGGCCACAGGCTACCAAATTGGACCTCACTAAACAGATTTCCATCAGAACACAAAGTTCTCCGGGACGGCACTGATCTAGACCCATGCCAAGCTCATTCCTACCTCCAGGTCATTGTACCTGCTACTCCCCCTTTGAGAATGTTCTTCCCCAGATGCTGGGATGGCTAACTCCTCATAATTCAGGTCTCAGTTCAAACAAAGCTCCTCAGAGGGACCTTCTAAATTTAGATATAGACCACTCAATCTCAAACAGTTTTCTGGTCTCCCCCATCCCCAGACACTCTTTACCCATCACTGTTTTATTTTCTTCATAGTACTTATTACTATCTGAAACTGTTTTGTTTTATAACTGTTTACCCATAGAATGTAAGCCCTGCAAGGGCAGAGACCATGTTTGTATGTTCACAGCTGTCTCGCCAGTGACTAGAACAAAACTTGACATGTAGGAAAGGTAAAGTAAGTTGTTGAACAAAGGAATAAGTAAGTATCGGAAAGAACATGGATTTTGGAGTTAAACCAACCTGTACTCCAATCCACTTATCAGCTATCATATCTTAAGAAAACTTATTTAATCTTTGAGCCAAATTCCTAGTGTCTTCATGATGACTGAGTAAGACAAAGCGTGTAATCTGCCTTGTCCTCTTACTATTAAAGCATCCCCTTCAAACTCAGGACAGTAGAGAAACATCAGAAAGACAGAAGCATGACTTGCAAAATGGAAGCACAAAAGTTCCACTCCTTGGGTAATCTCTTTTCCAAGTGTGACTGACTCATTCTGGATTCCTCTTAAACTGAGCGAGGTAGCTCTGTTAATGCAACAAACCAAAATATGGCAGCATAATTCTGGACAAAATAATAATGCTGTGGCCAGAATATTAACAATATCTTAATAATAACTACTATTTTGGGGTCACTTATTAAGTGTTAGCCATTGTGCTAAGCACCATATATACATCATCTGATTTATTCCTCACAAAAACTCTTTGAGGTATTATTATATTATCACCATGCCCATTTTATAAATGAGAAAACCAAGGCACAGAGATTAAGTAACTTGCCCAAGAAGACAGATCATAAATGCAGGAGTTGAGGTGGACCCAGGTCTATCTGAGGGTAGAAACCAAACCTTTAACTTCTGTAACATACAGTTTCCTTTTACAGTAGATAGCATAGAGCTGGGCCCTGATGACTCCCTAATAAATACAATCAACAATACTCTGTTTTGGTTACTGCCTTCTGAAATTTTATTTATTAGCCACCTTTGTTGTTTAAGTGGCATAAAGAACTGAGTATGGCTTTATTACTTCATTTCAGGAATACTCTCAAATCCTTGAGACTAGGAAAAATTCAGAAATATCTTCTGTTGGTACACACAATCATGAAAATTATCTATTTCCTCTCTATTTTATTTAAACAAAATTTAGAGACTCCAATAACACAACTGCTTTTTCTGTCTCTAATTGCCACAGGGCAAATCATCTAAACTTTTTAAATGAATGCTCTAGTGAGCCAGACCCTTTTCCTCTTTCCTACTTGAAAAAACTACTCTTTAAAAACATTAAAGAGTAGGTTTTAGTTCGGTATATGACATTAGGTTGTCACGCTGTGGTAGAGATTCTGCATTTGAATTCTGATTCTAGTGGTGTTCATCTACTACTACCTAGCAGCAGAAACTTGATCTAGTTACTACTCTCTCAGAACCTCAGTTCTACTTTTCTTAAGATTCCACTGAAACAATTAGTAAGATCCATTTCATTTACCACTGAGATTCTTTAATTTGGCTCCCTTATAGACAACTGAACTTCTTTTATCTTTCCCTAATGAGTTAGGATCACAAGAAATCATTAATACTCAATACAAACCTCCATCAAGGCTCCGGGATGCCCGTTTGCTTGCTGTACGCTCGAAGTGTGGGGCAGGCCTGTCAATCAGGGCACTAGCTTGCCTGGTCTGCGCCTGAGTCCGGCCACTGTATCGAAATTTGGATCCCAGTGCAAGAAATTTGCTTTTAGGAAGGGTGTCTGTAGATGTCAGTCTAGGGTGGAAAAACAAAATTGTATGTATTATCTCACTCTAATGAGACTGGGAGAGTAAAGACAAAAATCATGAATTAATCTCATTTCCTTATAGTTACTAAGACAGAGTTCCAATCAAACAATCATTATTTTAATTCTACATCATTTCTCAAAGCAACATGTATAATTTAATTGTGGCCTATATTAATAATATCATCATATATCCCTATAGATAGGGCCTTATGGTTTTCAAAATGCTTTTATAGCACTGTAATATTTTCATTACATCCATGTAATATTTTCATCATTTTACAGATATAAGAAACTGAACTTCCAAAAAGAAGTTACTGCCTTAAGATCACATAGCCGAGATTGGGCAATAACAGGGTCCAAGCCCAGAGCACTTTTTCCACTCTATTAAAATAATTTTGTCAAATGCACTCCAAACTCAATTAGTGCCTGTTAACCTATTTAATTGGTTACTTGGTGTATTTATCGCAGTTAGGAACCCCATCTTCTTTCTGTGCTATACCCTGTAATCTCTTTTGCCACGGCATTTACCGCACTGACCTGAAACAATCTATGTGCTGGTCTCCACTACAAGGCTGTGGGCTCTCTATGGGTAAAGGATAAAGACTATGATTTATTTACCTTTGTGTTTTCACTCCTGGCATAGTGCCTGGCATGAATTTGCCACTCAGTAAATGTTTGCTGAATAAATACATCAATTGCTACATCAAACACTACCAAAAAGAGAGTACTTTTTCCCTTTGGGATAGTTTATTTTAATTCAGTAAATATTTACTTTCTTTTGTGTGATGAAGCATTACATATTAATATATTCTCTTATTTGATAAAACAGATTCAAACATACTGTCCTACAAGTAAATATTTTGGGCTGTAGTTGAAATCTATACCATACATATTAAACATTCAAAAAACTCTTTCTCACCTGTACCCTTTTAGTTTTTTTTAAAGATTTATTTATTTATTTATTTATTTATTTATTTATTTATTTGAGAGTGAGAGAGAGAGAGAGAGAGAGAGAGAGTGTGTGCAAGCACGCATAAGCAGAAGGAGGGGCAGAGGAAGAGAATCTCAAGAAGACTCCTGCTGAGTGTGGAGCCCGCCATAGGACTCAATCCCACAACCCATGAGATCATGACCTGAGCCTAAACCAAGAGTTGGATGCTCAACTGACTGAGCCACACAGGCACCCCACCCTTACCCTTTTTAAAAACTCTATTTTCTTGGTTTGATTTTAAAGATGAGGATGATAAAAACATAAATATATCAATGCCAAAAATTAAGATTCCTTAATTGGTTATGAAGTATACCTTCATGTTTATTCTGAAATGATAATTTTTTTAAAAGATTTTATTTAGGGACGCCTGGGTGGCTCAGTCAGTTAAGCATCTGCCTTCGGCTCAGGTCATGATCCCAGGGTCCTGGGATCGAGTCCCGCATCGGGCTCCCTGCTCCGCGGGGAGCCTGCTTCTCCCTCTGCCTCTGTCTCTCTCTCTGTCTCTCATGAATAAATAAAAAAAAAATAAAATCTTTAAAAAAAAAAAATAAAAGATTTTATTTATTTGTCAGAGAGAGAGCACAAGCAGGGGGAGCGGCAGGCAGAGGGAGAGAGGGAGAAGCAGGCTCCCCGCAGAGCAGGGAGCCCATTATGGGACTCGATCCCAGGATCCTGGGATCATGACCTGAGCCAAATGCAGTCACTTAACCGACTGAGCCACCCAGGCACCCTGAAATGAGAATTAAAATGTTCTTTTCCCTGAGTTTTCTTCCTGTCTCCTGTGCTATCGTGCTAAGTGTGATATGAAAACACAAATAGAAATAAAAGATATTATGAAAAAAAGATATTATGGTCATCTCTCTTGAGAGCCATTCATAAATAGTCAAGTTTATTTATAAATGACATAGCATGAGATCTGGGATTTGCTTCAAAATACTCTGGGAAGAAGTGGGAAGTAATGGGTAAGGATATAGATGAAACAAGATTGGCCTTGGGGTGATAATATTGAAGGTGGGTGTAGGTACAAGGGTAGTTCATTATACTACTTTCTTTACTATGACCATGTATGCAATTTACAATAATAAAGAAAATTTTCTTTAAAAGGCAAGCTGACAGCAACTAGCTGGTTCTCCTTTCAGTGCCGGTGATTACTTGTGTAAAGTCTGTCTTCTCTGCTAGATTGATTATTCCCTCAGGACAGGGACTAGAACTATCTTGTGGTATACTCTCAATGCCTACTACAGTGCGTACACAAAGGGTAAGCACTAAAAAAATGTTTGGTAAATGAATACAAAGGGTTAATGATGTGGCCTCTTGAAAAGCTGAGCAGATGAAACTTCCTCCTATTTTCTGATTATCTGATACAATTGGGCTTCAAAGATGGCTCTCTGTGCCTCTTTTCGGGGGTTGATTAGAGCCTAGATAACGATCAGCTTCCTACCTTTCACCTTCTAATCTAACAGCCCCACAGAAAGTAGGTAAGCAATGCTTTAAGAAATTCCATGTGGAGGTAAGTCAGGGTATTTCCCCCTCACAGACTAATTTTAGCTCCAGTTAGGATGATCACAGAGCCCCTAGTAAACACAGATTCCTTTTCCTCCCTTCTATTCTCCTTCTACCACCCACAGAAAGGTGCTCTGGGAATGTTAAGGAATATTTTTCAACCCAAGGGAGGAGAACTGGATTTATTTTGTCTTGCTTAAGATGATCTCACCTGGGCTAAATAAAAGAATGCCAGCCATACAAAGGAGGGAATTTCAATAGCAGGTTTAAAATAGAAACATGCATAAATAATTTATCCTTGAAAAATACTTAAGTGAGAACAATACCTGAAAAACGTGTGATGCTCTACACAGACTTTCCATAATTTCTTAGCTGCTCGGTAACTGGGAAGTTTGAATCCAATGGTACTCTCATATTGTTCTTGCTATAAAAATGCGAATAAACATGAAACATGATTATTTGACTAAAGTGATCCAGTACCAGAGAAATATGGTGTTACAGAAGAGGACATTATAAATGAAAAGAATGTTACTACTAGTTTAAGAAATTGAAATTTTTCAGTTGAAATTGAAAATTTTCATTTGAAATTTTTTCCTACTTACCAGAAGAGATCTACTCACTTAAGGTGGCTTTTTCCACAGCAGAGAAGCCAGGGAATGCATCTTATATTATTCATGCATTTTATTTTGTTCAGAACCCACTCCCCCCTTCAGACACTGTACATTTTTCTGAGACATAATTAAGTGACCTTTTGACTGTCCGGACATTACTCTTCCTTGGTTACTGTCTACATTTGGGATACTTGACTACAATATGATCAGGGAAGGGGAAAACGTGATTCCTCCAATCAATCAATATTATTATGCAATTGTTTTTAGTAATGGGAGCTAAAGATTTTGGCTCAAACTAGATTCCCGAATTATTAAATGTTTTCTCTTTTCTTCCCTTGACTGACCATTATTTATCTGGAGACCTCTTTGACTGAAGCAAATCATAACCTGCCAAGGATACGAGAAACACTGTCCTGCTAGTCTTTTGCCTCTTTGTTTCTACCTTAAGCATACAAGATAGAAAAGAAACTGACATTTATATTTAGTGCCTACTAAATATACTACATATACATACTATGATTAGGTAGTATCATCTATATTTTTACACATGAAGAAACTAAGATCAGAGAAGTTATTTGCTCAGTCTCATAGCTATCAAGGGGCAGAACCAGATTTTCATGGTTTCTACTACATGCTACTGCTATATCATCCTCTGTAGACGTAACACTTCACATCTCAAAATCCTTTTGTTGTTCCTAATTGCTTTCTTCAATAAGAATTCTATGTTTTAGGGGCGCCTGGGTGGCTCAGTCGTGAAGCGTCTGCCTTCGGCTCAGGTCATGATCCCAGGGTCCTGGGATTGAGCCCCACATCGGGCTCCCTGGTCAGGTGGGAAGCCTGCTTCTCCCTCTCCCACTCCCCCTGCTTGTGTTCCTGCTCTCACTATCTCTGTCTCTGTCAAATAATTAAATAAAATCTTAAAAAAAAAAAAAAAGAATTCTATGTTTTAGTATGTATCATGTAGTTGACTTTCAAAAGACCCAAGGACTTCCTTTATCCTATTTATTTGTGTGTGTGTGTGTATAAATTTTCTGCCTTCCCACATTAAAATGTAAGATAGGTTAGGGATGGACTCTTATTCACTATTATATGCCTAGACCCAAGAATAGTGCCTGGCACAAAGCAAGCCCTCAATCAATAAATATTTGGTGACTGAATGCCTCTTAGATTTGAAACTTTTGAGGGAAGACATTGACTCCTCTTTGCTAGGCACAGGTAAATAATGATGGTATTAAATAAATGTTTCATTGGGCCTAACCAAGATTTTTAAGGCTGCACATCCAGTATTTCCACGCTAAAATAACAAGCCATTTTCCACCAGCAGATGGTGATACACACACAAAAAAAGCCATATACATTAGTGCATTACTTTCTCGTTTAGAGCTTTTACAGCTGTCATCTCATTTGATCTTCAAATCAACTGTGACAGAGAAGGTATTATCCCACTCAAATGATAAGGAAGCTGAGCCCTCGATTTGTACTGGGTATTCTGCTTAGTAGCGGCAGGGGCAGAGTAGGAGCTAGAACTTTTTTTAATTCCTACTTAAATAATTTTCTGCTGTGCCATGATGGCTCCTAAATGTAAAAGTTAAGTTTGGTCAGCATTAGTATATCCTAAATCTTGAACACCAACTAATAACTGAGTCGTCTGGATGAGCTGAACAACCAACTCTATTAAAAATCTAGAACTTGACCTAGAATACATTCTTAGCAACCACTAGGAGCTACACATACAAATAAATCTTAATTACATGAGGTAAGGTGTTGGTGGTGCAAAACATGAGTACCTTAACCCCACAATTTCAAAATCTCCTGCTACTTAATTTATAAATATTTATAAATACTTCCCCATCAAGGATTTTACCGGAAGTAAATAAGTTTATCAACCCAAGATTCACTTTTGGCCATGATATATTTACTTACATACAGAGAAATGTCCAGAAGATCAGTAGTAAGGAAGACAAGAAGCATTATGGGGCAGATTAATTTAGAAAACAGAATTACCAGTTCCTGAACAGTTAGCTACAAAGAGATGTCTCAGATGACATAATAAGAAAAGCAAGAATGAAGAGATGTTTTCAACACGGCCCATGCTTGATTCAGAAGGAAAGAAGCATGAATGCTGTACCTCTCCAGGACGGATCTTGATGAAAAAGCTGCTACGTTTGTAAGAAATCTTCAACACTTTGGGCCAAGGAAAGCGGTTAATCCTCAGCTTATCTTTATAAACCAGAAGGCCACTAGAGCAGACACCTAGGATGATATCCACTCCTTCCAAGTCCTGAAAAAGAAAAGTGTTAGCAGTTCAGTCTTCAGCAAAGTGCTCAACCCGTGGTTGACTATTATTTGATAATCTGAAGATATCAATAACCAAAAACCCTTACAAAGCATACATTAAAAAGTAAAGCTTGACCTTACAATCATAATCCATGGGACTACTGAGTCCATGTAAAAATGTTACCATACCACTGTGAGTGAACACCTGCTCTTTTCTTGTCCAAGAAACATGGACGTACACATCTTACCCACTGAAGGAACTAACTCCTAGAAGGAGCCATGAAGCCACCACAGCCACCCCTCAAAGCCACCGTGAAATGTCACTGGGCTTGCACTTCTCCCATAAAACTGAGCCTCTGTATTCTCCAAAAAGGTGTTCCTTAATAATCCAAAAAGAGGGGCGCCTGGGTGGCTCAGATGGTTAAGCGTCTGCCTTCGGCTCAGGTCATGATCCCAGGGTCCTGGGATCGAGTCCCGCGCATCGGGCTCCCTGCTCCTTGGGAGCCTGCTTCTCCCTCTGCCTCTCTCTCTCTCTGTCTCTCATGAATAAATAAATAAAAATCTTAAAAATAATAATAATAATCCAAAAAGAGGCACTCATCTGCTTTTACCATGCCTGTCTGTATATGAAAATTCTAGGGTAAACGTTCATGTTCTCATTCTAAATATTCAAATCTGTCACTACCATAATCAGTAAATAATTACTATGGTAGCTACAGCAGCTACCTATGTCCTACACATGTAGCGTTAAGTCTGTAGGCCACATGACTTCTGCAGGCTAGGGCTGAGGAGTATGTCTACTACCAAATATACATGCACAGTTATTTTTTTTTTATGATAATGTGGTCATTCATCCAAAATTCATAAGTAAAGGAGTTGACTCTATTCCTGTATAAACTCAGTATGAGAGAATCTCAGTCTTGTAATTATTGATGTTAAGTATATTAAATTATAAATATTATCCCAAAGTCAAGAAGGAACAGCAAGATAAAGCCACATTTCTATGCCTCCTTAGTAATTTTTAAAAATTAAATATATAATATTAATCATCTGTGTCTGCAAATAAGGAAAATAAATTTCACCTGAGTAAATCTCTACCAATGACTATGTAGATAGGTAATCAAAGCACAGAGTTAAATGTTTCTTGACTATTCCTTTTCCCAAATTGAGTATAGAGAAACATGTTAGTGCTTATATGTGTTATGTACAAACACAACTGAGAGGTAAAAATTATTAACAGCTCTAACTCAATGACTATATAACTGAGAATTTCCCAGAAGATGCCCTCTTAAATTCTTAAAACCTGTGGCTTTCTCTCTCTCTTAATTATATGTTTTGGAGAAACAATTTGCTTCACAACATTTGGGAAAGGAATATGCTGCTTGACTTCTTCATCTATTCCTGATAATTACTGCACTGACATCAGCCTACAGCAGGAACTGAGAAGCAAAACCGAACAATTTCTGGTCTGATCTTTCTATCATCTACTTTAGAGATTCACAGAAGCACCCAGGCCAAAACAATCCAGAGCAACATTTTAAGAAAAACCACTAACATGCAATGAAATTTTATTAGATTTAACAGAATCTAAAGAAGGAAGAATCTTCAGATATCAGCTATTCAGGGTGGGAGAAGCATGAAAGTTTCTGTTAGTCCAATCACACAACAGATGTTTGAATGTCCTTTTTTCTAAATTCCTACCAAGCAATTATTTTACCTATCTTGGCATAGAAGGTAGTGAGCATTCTGTCACGGAGTTATTCCAGGTAGAATAACTGCTTGGTGGGAATTTAGAAAAAAGGACATTAAAACATCTAGTGTGTGACTGGACTAACAGGACCTTTCATGCTGTAGGCACGAAATAATTACTATGGTAGTTAGGGGCCCATTCCATCTTAGTAAAGCTCTGACTGTTCACAATTTGTCAAACTATGCTGAATGGTATTTCCCTGTAATTTCCATTTTACTAGCTCTAGCTTTATACCTGGAGCCATAGTAAAATCTCTACTTCACACAGCAATCCTTCAAATACACAAAGACAGGTTTTATGTCTTCCCTAAACTTTCTCTTCTAGGGGCTAAGTATCCCTATGCCTCTGCTTTCTCACTGGACATGGTTTTGAGTCCCCTCATCATACACCCATGAACCTCACATCATCCCTTGAGCCCATTCCCTCACAAACTCCTCACACACACCCCCTTGCTACCCCCAGCCACTTCAGTAGGTGAAGATGAGAGAAGTCAAGCAATTTCCCTTAAGTTTATCCTGTTAGGTTGTATTAGGCAGAACTAGGATTAAAGCTTAAGTTTCCAATTCCCTGACCCAGTAGTTTCCAAATGAGCCACTGTGGTTCATCCCATGTACATTAGAATCACCTGGAGAGCTTGTGAAATTAGATTGCTGGGCTCCACCTGCAGCATTTCTGATTCATTAAGTCTGGGATGGGGCCGGAAACGTGCATTTCTAACAAGTTCCTGGATGATGCTAAACGCTGATTAGGAGACCACACTTTGAGAACCACTACCTTAGGCCAATGGTTCTCAGATTCAGGTGTGAATGAGAGTAATTTACATGTTCATTCAAATTAGAGCTCTAGTGTCTTGTCCAAAGTAATTCAGTAAATCTGGGAGGATCTTGAGAATCTGCATATCTAATAAATGCCCCAGTGATTCTGATGTAGGTGACGCTGGTTGTGAAACATGCCTTGCTGCCACTTTATAGTTTCAAATGCATCTGCATTTTAGGAAAATATCACTTCTTCCACTCTAGGTGAAATATCTTTGATCCTTACAGGGGCTTCAATGTGAAATTTCATTCTGACAGTGGAACTGCAAAGGGGCAATTCAAATTAAACACTTCAAATTCTACCAAGAACTATCTCTTTTGAATGTTTTATAATACCCCAGATAAAAGCTGGCAACAAGTATTATATGACCCAGTTCTGATACATGTACATTAATAAAGGCCAAATATATCATTCATTACCTTTGCTTTATGAAGGTCAACACCATACATAGACAACTTTTTGGCATTCTCAAGAAATTCCAGGTCAGCTTGAGCTGGAGTCATGGACCTTTGGCAAAATAAAAATTAGAAGTTCAGCATTACAATGCCATCTTTTACAATAATAACATTTGTATATTAGTTGTACTTTATATATAAACACACAAATGTATATATTGTATATATATTGTATATATATATACACATATATATGTGTATACACACACACACACACCAATATGTATATGGATATATTTCATAGTCCTGAAAGTAAAATATTAGGGAAAAGGATTCTTATCACTACCTTTGTCTAAATCATTGAAATATGTCTTAGTAAAAAGAGATCTTGGAGAAAAACAAAGTCACCAAAAAACTATTAGGAAAAAAGGGTTTTAAAAAATATCCTGCTAAACAATTTCCTTATAGCTGCCTCACCTCCATCAGCTCTACTCCTCCTTCTCCTCTCAGCCTTTTTTCTCTAACACACACAAACTCCTCCTACTAATTTTTCTTGCCAAGGAGGTGACCAAATTAAATCCTCTGAGGGCATGGTACAATTTACAATATCCTCTTAGCTGCCTTTTTCTTTCCATACTCCTGAATTATTATGGAAATTAAACAGGTGGGCAGCTGAAGTTACTTAACTGGAGACTCTTAATGGAGGCAAGCTTGATGAAAAGAAATTTTCTGGTAACAGATGGTATCCTGCCCACTAATCTAAACAAAATAAATTGGTTAGTAGAAGCATGTAGATAATGGGGCTGCTTTCTCTGTTATTAAGATGTCTTCATTACTAGGCATATTTAGATTTGTTAGAATTTGTTAGAATTAGATTTGTTTGAAAACATCAGTCGCACTGTCTAAATGCTCACTGTGATGATCCTTCCTTCTCCTTTATAACTTTCCCCACTCATGAGCTGTTATGTTGAGCTCTGAAGAAAAAGATATCACTCCTAATGCTGCACAATTCAGGCCAATCAGATATAACTTCATACTAATAATAATGCTGCCACACCCCCAAAGAAAAATGGTGTACATGCCTGTTTCCCAGAGGACTGCCTTAAACTAAGCAAAGCAGCCCAGTGGCCTATTCATTTAACAGAAGAAAGTCTCTTCTAAACCCATCTGTCTTTACTCTCATTAAAAAGAACAAAGCGTTCCTTGGAACAACAACCAAAATTTCAGGAGACAGTCTGCAGATTTGTTAATGACTCAACCCTCCCCAAATAAACTCTTTTTTCTACAAGCACTAAATCATCACACCTGAGTTCTATTTAGTAGATCTGAACACACACAAAAAAAGGAGAATGGGGAAATTAACACATATGCAAATCTGTGTATTCTAGTCACTAAAAACATCTCAGAAATGGGGCGCCGGGGTGGCTCAGTGGATTGAGCCACCTATTCTTGGTTTCAGCCCAGGTCATGATCTCATGGTCGTGGGATCGAGCCCTGTGACCAGTTCTGCACTCAGCGTGGAGTCAGCTTGGGATTCTCACTCTGCCTCTGCCCCTTCTCTCTTTCAAATAAATAAAATCTTTTTTTAAAGCATCTCAGGAAAGTTTTATAGGGTTTTTTTTCCATATAAAGTTATATACTTTTCTAGTTAAGGTTACTCCCAATCATTTTATAGTTTTCGTTGTTGTTACTATTATCAATGACTTCAATTTTAGGATTTTGATGGTGGAATGGAGCTTGAAGATTATAGAATCCAACATTTCAATTTTGCTGATGAAGAAAAAAGGCCCTGAGGGATCACACAGTCATGGGCAGTTGTGACTCTTAAGTTTAAGGCAGCAGGCTTTAGTCAGGACTTTAAGTCACATTACTCACGCTGGAATCATGCCTCCTGCACCTAAGAGTGGTGACCTGGTGTCTCCCTCAATCCCCTAACTATAAAGTAAAATCCATGATAACACCTAATTCCAGAGAGTAGGATAGGCAATGACCTTTTTATGTTTGCTGAATGAATGAATGTGACTATGTAGGATAAAATGAGATAATGGTTGTGAAACTGCTCTGCAAAATATGTTTATTATTATTGCAACTTTAGGTTTCTTTTTTAAAATTTTTTCAAGATTTATTTATTTGAGAGACAGAGTATGTGTGAGCAATGGGGGAGGGGCAGAAGGAGAGGCGAGAATCCCAAACAGATTCACTACTGAGTGCGGAGCCGACACGGGGACTGATCCCACGATCCCAAGATCATGATCTGAGCTGAAATCAAGGGTCACCCATTCAACTGACTGAGCCACCCAGGCACCCCTGTAACTTTCAGTCTCTGATGACATTACAGGGAACATCTATACACAATTCATAAAAGAGAAAAATTTTGATCACCTGAACTTGAAGACACATTTTAAAACAATAAATGAGGCAATTGTGATAAAATCTTTTCTATAGTTACTCCTCCAATTCTAAGGGACGTTAATGGGGTCAATTTAAATACAGATTTAAGTTTCAAACTATGTCATTTAAATGCTTCTCTAAGTAAGCATGCTTTAAAATTGTATTAAGGGCAGGAGCACCTGACTGGCTCAGTTGGAAGAGTACGTGACTCTTGATCTTGGAGTTGTGAGTTCAAGCCCCATGTTGGGTGGAGATTAATTAAATAACTATATATTTTTAAAAATAGATAGATAGATAGATAGATAGATAGATAGATAGATAGATAGATAGATAGATAAAATTGTATTAAGGGCAGGTAATAAGATGAGATCTTTAACTTTATTTTTTTTTTAAGAGTTTTATTTATTTATTTGACAGAGAGAGACACAGCGAGAGAGGGAACACAAGCAGGGGGAGTGGGAGAGGGAGAAGCAGGCTTCCCGCTGAGCAGGGAGCCTGATGCGGGGCTCGATCCCAGGACCCTGGGATCATGACCTGAGCCGAAGGCAGACGCTTAACGACTGAGCCACCCAGGCGCCCCAAGATCTTTAACTTTAAAACTATGAATTTCCTTGTTAGTTGAAAATAATACTTATATTTGAAGTTTAGCTGATGTTTGAAACATGCTTAAACTTAGAAGTTACCTACAATGCCAATCATTTTTTCCTCAACCACCTGAGAGCAAACTGTCACTCTGATGACCCATCACTCCCAACACTTTAATATGTAATTCCTATGAACAAGGACATTCTCCTATATAACCTCAATGCAACCATCAAAAGCAGGGAATAATTATTAATACATTACTGCTATCTAATCCTCAGACCCCACTCAAGTTTGGCCAGTTTTTTAAAAAATGTTCTGTACAGTAGAAAGGCCCAGTTTAGTTAGCATCATGAGTTTCATTTAGTTCATGTCTCTGGTCTTCTTCAGTCTGGAACAGTTCCTTAATCTTTCTTTGACTTTCATAATCTTGACCTTTTGAGAATTACAAGCCAGTTATTCTATAGAATGCACCTCAATTTGGGTCTAATGTTTCTCCACGAGTTGATTCAGGTTTTGTATCTTTGACAGGAATGCACAGAAGTGGCTCCGTGTTCTCACTGCATCCTATCAGGTGGTAGGTACACAATTTCAATTTGTCCCTTCATGGATGATGTTCGTTTTGATCACTAATGTCTGCCAGGCTTCTCTTCTGTGAAATTCCTATTTATCTCTTTGTAATTAATAACCATATTGTGGGAATGTACTTTTTTTAAGATTTTATTTATTTGTCAGAGAGAAAGAGTGGGAGAGCATAAGGAGGGGGAGCAGCAGAGGGAGAAGGAGACTCCCCACAGAGCAGGGAACCCGATGCGGGATTCAATCCCAGGACCCTGGGATCATGACCTGAGCCAAAGGCAGATGCTTAACCAACTGAGCCACCCAGGCATCCCTGTGGGAATGTATTTTGAAACCTTCTGAATATCCTTTTCCTTATCAAATTTCTAATTTACTCATTTATATTGGAATGGACTCATAGATTCTCATTTTATTCAATGCAATATAATCAATTATTTTCCTTATTTATTTTAGTGCTTAAATTGGCCCAGATTTGGTCAGTAGGAGCCTCTCCAAGCTGGATTCTGTATTCTTCTGATCATTTCTGTCATTTTTTGAGCACTCCTTTCTCAAACAATGTAGAGTTAGAGTATGTTAGTATGCATGTATATATATATGTGCGTGTGAATATTTACACATCTGCCTATCTATCTATCTACCTAGCTATCTATCATTAGAAATCATGAGTTAGCATTGAAACCTCCAGTTTCAATGCAATACCACAGGGTTTCTCCCTCTTCATAATGTGAATCTCCTTTTACTGACAGTGAGAAACCTGACTCCCATCATCATCAATATATTGACTAATTTGATCAACACCTTGTATATAACCAATCTCTCACCGCTGCCAGTGACTCCTCCCCTACATGGATACCTTCCTCACCTTGACTGGACTCTGAACTCCCCCATGTGGGGCTGCTCCCCACCCAGGGATGCCCTCCTTACCTCACTCAAGTTCTGACTCCTGGTATTAGGCTACCCCTTTCATGGACATCATCTTCACCCTGCTCAGGCTTTAATACCCTGTATCAGGTACCACCCCATGCAAAGGCCTCCACCCAATGCAGGCCTTACCCCCACATGGATGCCCTTCTCAATCTGCTCTGCCTCTGATAACTACCACCACATGCCCATACATGACTACCCTCTTTGTACTGCTTGAGCTCTGACTCCTAACACCAGGCTGGCTCCCTACCCATGAATATTCTCACCACCCTGCTTAGACCCCAATATCCCCAGCCAGACTGCCTCTCTGCATGGATGACTATCTTGCTCTCCCCTACCTAATGGCAAAACAAAATTGTTTCAGGGGCGCCTGGGTGGCTCAGTCATTAAGCGTCTGCCTTCGGCTCAGGTCATGATCCCAGGGTCCTGGGATCGAGCCCCGCATCAGGCTCTCTGCTCGGCGGGAAGCCTGCTTCTCCCTCTCCCACTCCCCCTGCTTGTGTTCCCTCTTTCGCTGTGTTTCTCTCTGTCAAATAAATAAAATCTTTAAAAAAAAAAAATTGTTTCAGGAAGCTTTTTCTGATTATAAAAATCATACATTCATTGTATAAGCACATGGGGGGGAGAAAATCTCTCATAATCCCACTACCCACAGAACTGTACATGTAAATACAACACATATATTTTACAAATTTAATACCACAAATTAAATTCAAATTATTTTCAACTTAAACTTTTATAGATCAGGGTTTCTCCTAGATTTTCGAAGACTCTTGAAGTATATAATAAACTAGCTAGAAAGACGTTAGATACCTCTAAGCCATTAAGAATTTATTCAGTACCATCCAATAATTTACTACTTGAAAGCTTACAAAAGTATCTAACCAGAGACATTTGGCACTGGTTAACTCTTGCTCATTAAAAAGAGAAGTTAAAACAAAGTTTCTCTGTATTTATTTTGAGCAAGTGGGGTCCGGATACAGAGCCATTCAGTGAGTTCCAACGTTATGTGACAGCCTCTTAATAATGTTTGTTACATCCCCTAATTAAGGACTGAGATTTCAAATAATTAAGTGGGGGACAACTGACAAGTTTACATACTTTCCTACTACCCATCAATGGAGGGCAATTAATTTTAAAGCTTGATTTGCTAGTATAAATTTACAGTGTTAATTATAACTTCAAAGTCTCTATCTGGGCAAAGGGCCACCAACCAAGGGTTCCATGTAAGTAGGCGGTCTTCTATTTATCTGAGAACAGGGTGGTATTTGCTTGTACTTTTCAATGCATAGTAAAATGCTTCTGCCTCAGCAGAAGTTTCTCTGGATTAGTTAAAATGCCATGTTGTTGGACATAATTAAATTTTCCATTTCGCTTTCTGTTTGTAAATGGTGCCAATCTTTCCAAAAAGGAGCAAGTAAATCCCAAGATGTCAGACCTCTACATTTTCTAGTCATGGAGATCCATTATTGCTTAATTTCTATCCATATACCTAAAAGAACATCAAATGGACCATATCCACCTGTCTTTTGAGATCATTTCACTTATTTGGGTTTAAATTCTGTTAAGTTCCAAAGAGTAGTTCTCTAAACCCAGATTCACATCCATCACTTGTAAAATGGGGTTAAGAATTATTATTCTAGCAAATACTCTCACTATATACTAGTCACCATGCAATGCCCTTCACATTTTTAACAATCACAAAATTCATATCATTACCCTTATTTTTCAGATGAGAAAACTGAAGCTTAGAGAGCTTAAGTCATTTACTAAGAGTCAAAAAGTTAATAAGGAATGGAGTCTGAATTCAAAATATAACAGGCTGATTCTACAGCCCATTCTTCTCTCTCACTGCCTAGCTCAGTGGTTATCAAACTTTTTGACCTTAGGATCCCTTCCCTCTCTTAACAATTATTGAGGTCTCCAAAGAACTTTTCTTTATGGGGGTTATATCTATCAATACTTACTACATTAGAAATTAAAACTAAGGCAATTTTTAAATACTTACTAAATCTTTAAAGAGTAACAATAAGCTCATATTTTAACATTCATAACTTTTTTGTGTGAAAATTAACAATATTTTCCCAAAATGTAGTAAAAAAAAAAAGTGACATTGTTTCACATATTTATAATTTTTTTAAATATCTGATTTTGAAGATATCTGGATTCTCCTAATTCAGACTAACATACTCAGGGTACTACTAACTCAAGGCCAACATCAGATATTCACGTTAATAAGCTAAGGCAGCCTGTAAAATGTAGCGTTAGCAAGTCCCTCAAATAACCATGGGATGTATAATAGGAAGAAACACAAATTATTCTGGCACTTTAATATTAGCTAACATTTACTGAATTTTGACAATGTGTAAGACACTGTATTAAGTTTTTCCACAGGGATGCCTGGGTGGCTCACTCAGTTAAGTATCTGCCTTCGGCTCAGGTCATGATCCCAGGGTCCTAGGATGGAGTCTCACATCGGGCTCCTCGCTCAGTGGGGAGCCTGCTTCTCCCTCTGCCTGCCCCTCCCCCTGCTTGTGCTCCTGCTCGTTCTCTCTCTCTCTGACAAATAAATAAATAAAATCTTTAAAAAAAAAGTTTTTCCACATAATACCTTTTCTAATCCCATCCATCACCCTATTTCCTCTGAGGAAATAAGTTCCATCAGACATATGAGGAACCTGAGGCTCAGAGAGGTTAAGTGAATAACTCAAGGTCACAAGGCCAGGACCAAGCAGAGCCAAGATCTCAACCCAGCTCAGTCTGACCATATGCCCTTGCTTTTGATCACTTTGTTATACCTTCCAACATCACTAATTATTTCCATGCAAAAAAGCATTGAATTCAATAAAGACTTTTCAAAATAACCTCAGGGGTTTCATGGGTCCTCTGGAGTCCATCCATGTACACAGATCCTAAGAACCCCTGCTTTAAGGATCTTAAAGTACCTAATTCAGCATAATAAGTTTAAAATCTAAGGAAAAAAAAAGGTAAGGCAACAAGAGCTAACATTTACTGAGCACCTATTATGTGCCAGACACAGTGCTTAGTGATTTACTTCTATTACCTCATTTAGTTTTCATCCTTCAACACAACACCTGTTACTCTTGACAAGAAAACTGAGGTTTAGAGGGCTTAAGTGACTTGCTCAAAGTCGAACAGTGGAGGGGCTTGAGCTGACTCTACAGCACCACATCCCCTCTAAAACAAACACTGAATCAAAACCAGGCCAACGGTTTAAACTTATTGCCAAAACAAACACAGAAAAAACCTGGAGACATATTTACCTGTATGACTTATGCAGTTCCATGACCTTCTCTTCAAGTTCCTTGGTCTGATTTGGGGCCAGTTTAAAATCACTAACATAATCGGCACCATGAAGTTCTGGGTCATAGTCTCCCAGCTCAGACTGGATGGTGTAAGAACCTAATAATGCTAAGGTGGCAAAGGAACAGGGCAGACGTCCCACAACTATATCCTGTCGAAGCTGAAGGCATAAATAATATCTACAGCCAAAAGAGAAAAAAATGTTACCATGTCAGCAACAACAAAAACAAAATACAGAGGAAGAGGAAGAAAAGGGGAGTGAGAGGGAGGGAAGGAGGGGGAAAAACAAGAGAGATTAAATAAATATGAAATAATATTAATAATTGTTCAATCTAGGTAGTGGTTATATGATTGTTCATCATACTATTATTTTTTTCTTTTCCGTGTGTTTTAAAATTTTTCCATGTAAAACATTAAAAAAAACCAACAACCCTGTAACTATGTTGGACTCATATTTGGAAGGCAATTTAGAAAGAGGAAGTTGCGGGCGCCTGGGTGGCTCAGTCGTTAAGCGTCTGCCTTCGGCTCAGGTCATGATCCCAGGGTCCTGGGATCGAGCCCCGCATTGGGCTCCCTGCTCCGCGGGAAGCCTGCTTCTCCCTCTCCCACTCCCCCTGCTTGTGCTCCCTCTCTCGCTGTGTCTCTCTCTATCAAATAAATAAATAAAATCCTAAAAAAAAATTAATAAAACCTTAAAAAAAAAAAAAAAGAAAGAAAGAGGAAGTTGCTAAGAGAGTAGATCTTAAAAGTTCTCATCACCAGGAAAAACATTTTTGTAATTATGTATGGTGATGGTTATGCACTAGACTTATTGTGGTGATTATTTCATAATACATGCAAATATCGAATCATTCTGTTATACACTTGAAATTAATACAATGGTATATGTCAATTATATATCAATAACAAAAAAGGAAGAAAGAAAAGAGGTAAAGTTGGGAAAAGTCTGAAGGAGGTAAGGAAATTAATATTTTATTGAGTACATTAAGTACCATATACATATAAATTATCTCACGTAATTTTCACAAAAAAACTTGTGAAGTGGGTATCATTACCAGATTACAGATAGGGGGGCAACTTCAAAGACTAAGCTTGCTCAATGTCATATAGTAACAAAGGCTGTTTGGCTCCAAAAGTGGACTCTTTCCATCATACTGCTTTGCCAAATGTGTAGATACTGTCCTTTATATAACGATGACATTACTGACACATTTTTACTAGGGTATGAACAGTTTCAGTTCTTTTCCGGAACTTCAAGATGGGTTAAGCTGCATGTAGCCTTCCACACACTATCATATTGTAAGACTGATTCCACCCGTGTGCTAAATTACTGGGAATTCAAACTGGGCTTAAAACTGGTCAGTAGAACAAACTGAGTGCCCCTACATATGTTAGACACTCATCTCTATCAGTATCATGTTTACACCTATGATCCTGACCTCCTTAGCACTTTTTCTAGCTGAGTTGACCAATACAGACTGTTTTACCAAACAGGAAAGCTGGGAGATATGATGCAATTGAAAATTCCTGTATTGATTAGAATTCTATCCTTGGTTTGACCATAACAAGATGTTGAATAATGTAGGTATCAACAATCGCTTTGGCTAACTATGATTAGTCACTACATACATATTTTTTAAAAAAAAGAGGAATGCCAACCAAATCACAAGGATCTTAAACTCCTCTAAAATGTAGGTAATTAGCAAAGAGTTTTAGGGACTTGTTTTGTTTTATACATAACCTCAATGAAGAAAGATGAATAAGAAGCAACACTAAGATACAAATATTACCTGAGAAAAAGAAATAACCAAAACAATTTTTTTTTTCAGGCAGAGATGGCATGTCAACTTCAAGCATGTACTAAGGATTAACCAAAGAATAATTTTTTTAAAATTTCACCATACTTGACAATCAGACTTAGAGTTTACTTAGGCTATCCCCTTATTTGAGAGATCTGAAAACTGAGGTACAGAGACTGTATATTTGTCTGAAGTCAGATAGTGGACAGCAAAATCAGAATTAGAAAAGCAGTTTCTCAGGGGCGCCTCGGTGGCTCAGTCGTTAAGCGTCTGCCTTCAGCTCAGGTCATGATCCTAGCGTCCTGGGATCGAGCCCCGCATCGGGCTCCCTGCTCAGAAGGGAGCCTGCTTCTCCCTCCCCCACTCTCCCTGCTTGTGTTCCCTCTCTCACTGTGTCTCTCTCTGTCAAATAAATAAAATCTTAAAAAAAAAAAAAGAAAGAAAGCAGTTTCTCAGCAACCAACAATTCCATTTAACAAACATTTGCCAAGCACCTACTATGTATAAGGATCCATGCAAGGTGTTATGAATATAAATATGTACAGTAGCATTCTGTCTAATATACTGCTTTTCCATTTTCTTTTTTTAAATTAGTATTTATATAGAACCCAATAAAGGCCACTTTCCTAAAATCAGGAAGTTGTTTTCAAAGGGTACAAGATTTATTTCATAAACTAAGTGGGCTTAAAAATTACTGAGGAAGATTCAGTTCGTGAGGTTTATGTACCTAATCATACACTTTAAAAGAGAGATAAGAAGAAATAATAACACACACACACACACGAAATAATAATAATTCAGATTTCAGCTTTTTTAATCCCTATAACAGAAAACATGGTAGGGAAGGAGTATTAAAAACAGAAAGTACTAGAGCTATTTTATCACTTATATTTTTGTCTTGCCCTTTGGAAGGCGTGTGGTTTATAGGTGCCCTATACACAGCTTGGCATAGTACTCATGATAAGCAAAGTTAAATCCCCTGCCAATTTCCTCCAGGCATGTCACAGATATATGAGTCTTCTAGGCTCACTTATTTGCAAACCTGCCTTGAAGAGACCAAATGCTTTCCATCCTAAGTTTAAAAGCACTTCATTTTTCTTCAGTTCTAAATAGAAAAATTCCCAGAGCTTATGATAATGAGAATTACTTATTATATATTTAACTATTAATAAATTATTTACCTTGTTATATCTTCTGTTAACTGTGCTGGGTCAGGTGGATAAAACTTTACATTAAATGTGAAATTCCAGGGGACACCTGTAAAAGTAAACACAAAAAGAATTGTATGCTTATACCTAAGTTTCTGATTGTTAAAAGTACCTAAAATATTCAAAGTTTTCTCTTCCTGAGGTTTTTTAAATATTCTCATGCTTTGTGGAAAAAATTTGATTTTTATTAAAGAAAGAAAAAGTTATTTAGAAAAACTTAAGAGAGTTTGAAAGGGATTTTTTTCTCTTTGAGCTCTGTGTTAAGTAATTGATATAAATAGCTTGATAACACCCAGAATTGGTGGGGAAAATAAACAATTATCTATTGTTGATATGAGTATAAATTGATACAACAACCATATCTAAGGAGAACAATTTGACCATATCTTTCAAAACATAAAACATATATATTCTTTCACCTCCCAATTCTATTTCCATAAATGTGTCTAACATATGCTTAAACGTGGTCAGAATGGTATATGCATAAGATATTGTTTGTAATAGCAAATGTCTGGAGACAACCTAAATATATATTTATTTAGCAAGAGAAGATATATTTCCAAGATATAGTGTTAGGTGAAAAAAATATCAAGGTCAAGAACAGTGCACAGAGAAAGCAACCATAAGGGGCACCTGGGTGGCTCAGTCGCTTAAATGCCCGACTCTTGGTTTCGGCTCAGGTCATGATCTCAGGGTTGTGAGATGGAGCTCCTCATCAAGCTCTCGCTCAGCATGGAGTCTGCTTGGGATTCTCTCCCTCTCCCTCCGGAGTGCCCCTCCCCTTGCTTGTGCTCCCTCTCTCTCTCAAATAAATAAAAAGTTTTCAAAAACTAAAATTTAAATTTTAAAAAAGCAACCATGAAAGAAGTATATGTTAGGGTATGATTATATATGCATAGACAATCCCTGTAAGGATATATACTAAATCAGTTATAGTTGTTAGGAAGCTAGGAAGGGGAACTTTTAGAGAGGAAAATGAAGATGTGGAAAATAGGATGGAGACCTATTTTCACTGTATACGCTTTTATACCATTTGAATTTTGTACATATACTACTTATTAGATATAAACATGTAACTTTTTTAAAGGATAATCTTTGTCTCCTCCCACTAAAATGCAAATTACTGAGCATAAAAATTTTTTTTCTGTTTTATTTGGTGTGTATCCCTAGTGTCCAAAACAATGCTTGGTAAATCATAGATGCTCAAGAAATATTTGTTGAGTGAATGAATGAAAAAAGTAACTGATTTCACAGCATTGTTGTGAAGGTCATATGAGGATGCTACAGCTCCAGGGGGAAAAAAAAAAGGTACTAATATATTAAAACTATCCATTAATCCAGATCCACCAATGACCTTATGTTACTACACCTAATCAAATGAAAACAAACCAAAAAACCCCTGTATTCTGGTTCAATTTTTCTCTCCATTTAACCCAAAACAAGGAAGTTTAGCTGTATTAGAAATAACCGCATCTAAACAGAAATGTCCCAATTATTAACTTTTACTTTTGTTAATAGCAATTTTAAGAAGAGGAACCCAAATTTTCAGTTCCTATTCTTTTCTATGTAAGAGATATAAGTTTGACATGTTGCTAGTGAAGATATTCAGGTTCACTGCAAGCTAGCTCAGGGTTCAATGCAATAGAGACTAAAAAAGTTAATCACTTGGAATTAAAAAAATTTTAAAGTTAAGCTTTAGTTAGTGACGGTCTCTAGAATAGGATACATATAATTAGTAATACCTTATGGAGAATATTTAGTCGGGGAGAAAAAAAAGTGGCTGGAAAAGCTCTAAAAAATCTTAACATTAAAATTTCTACCCTTGGGGCGCCTGGGTGGCTCAGTTGGTTGAGCAACTGCCTTCGGCTCAGGTCATGATCTTGGAGTCCCGGGATCGAGTCCTGCATCGGGCTCCCTGCTCGGCGGGGGGCCTGCTTCTCCCTCTGACCCTCCCCCCTCTCATGTGCTCTCTCTCTCTCTCAGTCTCTCTCTCTCTCTCAAATAAATAAATAAATAAATCTTTAAAAAAATTTTCTACCCTCTTGGGGCGCCTGGGTGGCTCAGTCGTTAAGTGTCTGCCTTCAGCTCAGGTCATGATCCCAGGGTCCTGGGATCAAGCCCCACATCAGGCTCCCTGCTCAGCGGGAAGCCTGCTTCTCCCTCTCCCACTCCCCCTGCTTGTGTTCCCTCTCTCGCTGTGTCTCCTCTGTCAAATAAATAAAAATCTTTAAAAATTTTTAAAAGATAAAAAATAAATAAAATTTCTGCCCTCTTGGGATGCCTGGGTGGCTCAGTCAGTTAAGTGTCTGCCTTCGGCTCAGGTCATGATCTCAGGGTCCTGGGATCGAGTCCCACATTGGGCTCCTTGCTCAGGAGGGAACCTGCTTCTCCCTCTGCCTGCCGTTCCCTTGCTTGTGCATGCTCTCTCTCTCTCTCTGACAAATAAATAAATAAAATCTTAAAACAAAAAATGTTTACTTTAAAAAAAAAAATTCTGGCCTCTAACTCAGCAACACTTCAATGACATTCCCACCAAAGTGCATAACCTGAAGATTCATGTGCCATGAAGAAATATCAGACATCCTCAAAGTGACCACTTATAAAATAATGAGGCTGGACTCTTCAAAACTTTCAATGTTATAAAATACTTTAAAGACTCAGGAACTGTTCCAAATCAAAAAAACTGAAGAGATGTGCCAACTAAATGCAAAACATCACCAGAGATTTTCTTTTGCTATAAAGAATATTACTGGAACAACTGATTAGATCTGTAGGTTACAGTATTGCTTCAATGTTAATTTCCTTCTTTTAATAACTGTATTATAGCTATATAAGAAAATTCCTAGTTTTTAGGATATTTTAGGGGTAGGGAGATATCATGACTGCAACTTATTTTCTTTTTTATTGAAGTGAAATTCACATATATTAACCATTTTAAAGTATACAATTCAGTATATTTAGTGTACAATTCAGTGGCATTTAGTACATTCATAATGCTGTACAACCATCATCACTATCTAGTTTCAAAACCTTTTCTTTCTTTCTTTTTTTCCAAAACCTTTTCACCACTCCCAAAGGAAACTCTGTATCCATTAAGCAGTCACTCCCTCGCTGTCCGAACCCCCACCACCTCCAACACTTGGCAACCACTAATCTGTTTTATTTCTGTGGATCTACATATTCTGGATATCATATAAATAGAATCATATATGACCTTAAACATTTGGCTACTTTCACTTAGCATAATGTTTTCACTGTTCATCTATACAGTAGCATGTATCAGTATTTCTTTCCTTTTTAAGGCTGAATAATATTCCACTGTATGTATATATCACATTTTGCTTACCCATTATTGGGTAATGGGCATTGGGTTGATGGACATTGGGTTGTTTCTCCCTTTTGTTTATTGTGAATAATGTTGCTATGATGCAACTTTAAAATGGTTAGAAAAAAAACCTCTGTGTGTATGTGTGTGTGTGACTGTATAGATAAAGAGAAAAGAAGAAAAAGCAAATGTAGTAAAATATTAACATTTGAGGAATCTGAGTAAAGGATATTCAGGAATTCTTTGTAGCATTCTTTCAATTTTCTGTTAAGTCTGAGATTATGTCAAGAAATATTTTAAATTAATAATTGAAAAAAATTCCTGCCTTCTGAGGACACAGGAAACTAGGAATTCTCATTTACTGCTACTGGTGGGGAGGTAAACTGTTACAATCAATGTAAAAGAGAGCAATTTGGCAATATCTGGTAAAACATACCCTATAATCTAGCAATTCCACTTACAGATATACATCCTCGATCAAGTGTTTTTTTAAACTGTGGATCATGATCCATTGTGAAGTCAGTTTAGTAGGTCAAAAACAGCATTTTAAACAATGAAACAGAATACAAACAAAAAAAATTAGAGGATATCCCTCAGAGTAAAGATTAAGAATTGTTTTGTGAAATTTTCTTTTCAACTGAGATGAATTTCAAAAATCATGTTGAGTAAGAAAACCAAATCACAAATGATTAACTATTAAATAATTAAATTTATATGATGTTCAAAAGGTAAAACAATATTTTTAGGTATACGTTCATAGGTAACAAAAACTACTTAAAAATACAATGAAATCATTAACCTAAAATTCAGGACAGTTGTGACGCCTGCAGGGAAAGGAGAGGAAGACACATTTATAAGGTGTACACCTGGACTAGAGAATTTTTTTTTTTTTTAAGATTTTATTTATTTATTTGACAGAGAAAGACACAGCGAGAGAGGGAACACAAACGGGGAGTGGGAGAGGGAGAAGCAGACTCCCTGCCAAGCAGGGAGCCCGATGCAGGACTCAATCCCGGGACTCCAGGATCATGACCTGAGCCGAAGGCAGTCGCTTAACCAACTGAGCCACCCAGGCGCCCTGGACTAGAGAATTTTTTAAACATAATTTGTGTATGTTATATATCTGTATTGTTCGGTATATATAGAAGGTATAAGGATTCCTTTCTTTCTTCCTTCCTTCCTTCCTTCCTTCCTTCCTTCCTTCCTTCCTCCCTCCCTCCCTCCCTCCCTCCCTTCTTTCCCTTCCTTTTTTGAAGGTATAAGGACTTCTTGCTTTTGCTCTGCACTATTACAGAAAGGGGTAGACATGGATAGCCACATTGAGTAGGGGAGATCTCTCTTATTCACAACCAAGGGAATTAAGCTGGGAGGAAAGAGAGAGATTGATAAACCTCCAAAAGAGGTTCAAATGAATAAATGGGTCTGAGGGAAATTTCAGAAAAACAGACAAAGCAATACTATCTATGGTATATAGGTATGGATATATAAGAAAAAACATAAAAACATGGACTGAATCACCCAAATTCATGAAAATAGATTTCAATGGCTAGGGATAAAAGAGGACAGGACTAGGAGGAAAATGAAAAAGATAAAACTTACCGGTACTGTTCTATTTTAAATTTAAAATGTTAACACATGTTAATTCTGGGTGATGTGTACATGGGTTATTTGTTACATTAGCCTCCATACTTTTCAGTATGTTTTTAATATGGAAAAAAATCCTCCTAGTGAATATCTATTTCAATTTTAGATATTTATATTTTTTTATTCTACTTCTAGGAACTTACCTACAGGAACATATATATGTATGAACTTATATAAGTGAACTTGAACTTATATAAACGCTCACTGCAACCTTGTTTGTAATAGCAAACTATTGAGAATAACCCAAAATGGCCATCAAAATGACTGCTTATATATATTGTGCTACAACTATGTCATCAAGAAAATTTTTAAACAAATTTATATGTGTTGATATGAAGAATACTCCAAATTATGTTAAATAAAAATATCGGTTGCATATTTATATTAAATACATATAAAACATGCCTATTAAATACATATTTCTGTAAATGTACATAGTAAAATATAATATGCATGTAAAACATGTATGTATTAAATACATATTTATATTAAAATATGTGTATGTCTATGTCCACTCAGAACATCTCTGGAAAGAACCCAAGGAATTAAAGGATGGGGCAGAAGGACGATTTACCTTGCATTAGATTCATCTGTATCTTTTAATTTTATTCCACATATTTATATCACCTATTTAAACAAATTTTTAACTATATATAGCATAATACATAATGCATAGATAATATAATACATAACAATGTACAACAGTCCCCCCTATCCATGGTTTCACTTTCCCATGGTCAACCATGATCTGGAAGCAGATAATCCTCCTGATATATGGTCAGAAGATCAATAGTAGTCTAAGTCTAGGTCACAAGGCCTGTGTCATTCACCTCCCTTTGTCTCATCACATAGGCATTTCATCACATCACATTATCATAGGAAGGGTGAGTACAGTCCAATAAGATTTGAGAGAGAGACCACACTCATATAACTTTTATTACAGTATACTGTTATAATTGTTCTATTTTATTATTAGTTATTGTTGTTAATCTCTTACTGTGCCTAATTTATAAATTAAACTTTATCAAGATACATATGTATAAGAAAAAACACAGTATATATAGGGTTTGGTACTATCTACAATTTCAGGCATCCACTGGGGGACCTGGAATGTATCTCCTATGGACTTGGGGGGACAAGAATACTATACAGCATAATTCTATTTTTGAAAGGCAAAACTTATATATGCCTAGAAAAAATCTTGTAGCTTATACCAACTTAACAGTAATTGTATCTAGATGATAGAATTTAGGGGCCTTTTACTTTTTTTATGATATATTTCCCTAATGTTTAAATTTTTCACAATGGGTAAATATTACGTGTGTGACAAAAAGTATTTTTTTTAAAAAACAAAATCTTTGCAATAGATAAATGTCGATCTTCTCTTTGGCTTAATGAAATGTTTACATTTTGATTCCCTATTTAAGTTTGTGCTACAGACAAGGTTTTCCTTTCCCATGTTAAAGGAAGGGTTTTCATTATTTTGTAAATTTTTTTTTAAATGACAAACACTGGTTCTTTTTCTTAGCAAGATTTTTTTCTGTAGCTAGAAATTCTATCTAGAGATCATTATATCTATATATATAGATATAGATAATTATATCTAGAGATATAATCTACTAGATATTCTTCTCCACTCATCATAAATTCTGCTTTAACTTTTCTTCCTAACCAGTCTTCTTGTATAATCATTTGTTCCCGAGTAATACTGAATATTAAAAGAATTTTCATTGAAAGGGACTTGGAGTTATGTTTTTCTTGTCATGCCTCAAATATTCCAAAAATGTATTGCTCCTACTTGTATTTTATTCTTTTTTTTTTTTATTTATTTATTTTTGCTCTGACTTGGATTTTAAAACATTTTTTAGGCAAAGAACAAATATGGAGAGTTGCCAGTCCAAAGGAATATTTTGTTTTTCTATCTCAAGGAATATAAACTATAAATATGTCTAAAAGAAAACATTTCACTACAGGAAGATTGTTTTCTAAATTTGTTTTCAGGTGATAGTTAAAACTTACTAACCATGATGAATAACCTCTATTGCAGTTCCTAAAAGTTTCCTTAAAAATAAACCAAAAAGACATTTAGTTGTAAACAAGAGAAAAAGAGTCTCTACCCCTTAGCTAGCCCTTTGGGCCTGGAGCTACAAAATACCAATATACACTTTATTCGACCTAGAAATATTTATCTCAGGAAAGCCGTCTGAGCAGGGGTACAACAGTAATACATACTAAAGGGCTTGGCGTTAAGAGAAAAGTCACAATGTCAGAGGGCCATTGGCAAGGAAATTTCATTTTTCTACTAACAGAAGAACTGTTTGGAAGATTGTTGAAAATGGACAAAAAGAACTACAGAGAAGAAAACATGAAGAAGGTTAGAATGCAACAGTCCAGAACAATTTAAAAGGACCAGGACCAGGCAGCAAACCCCTTTGAGAACTGACTCCCATATCCTTTTTCTCTTCTCATCTTTGTTCTTCTCAAACTTGTTTTTCTCAACCATTCCAATCTTCTCCAATTTTGCCTAGTTGTAAAGAAAAAAATCAAGATCTGACCTACATCTCAATCGTGTCCACCTCTGTTGTATCTTTCTATCATGGAATCTCCTCCTTCCAAGGGAAGGCTTTATCTCAATTTCAGAGCCACCTGCCATACCCAGGATTCTAAAGTGACTCATAGCCAGAAAATGGGTGAAAATCCTCTGACCTACTAAAAGAAAGAAAGAACTATAAGAAGGGCTAGATTCACTTACCACGAACTTGCTTTTTTATTTCTTTGGCAGAATCCAGCCATGTCTGTAAAAAGAAGAAAAGGCATTCACACACAGCTCCAAAACACACAAAGCACAGAGTGCCAGAGCAGGATTACTGGGCATTTTCGAATAGATTCTCTAGGTCAATCTATATTTCTGATATTCTCTGCATTAATTTCACACAGCATAGTAAATGTGAGCAGAGAAATAGGGGGCCAGACGGTTAGGACTGAATCCTAACTCCACTACTTCCGAGCTGAGTGATTTTAGGCATCTCTGGATCTGTTTTCTCATCTACTAGAGGAAATTAAAATGAGATACTAGTATAGTAGTAGGGCCTATCTCATAGACTTATTGTGAAGATTAAATGAGCTAATACATGTAAAGCTTTTAGTAAAGAAGAAATGCTAAATAAGCACTTGCTATTTTTATCATTCCATAAAGAGTAGTAGAGATATAACCAGGATTAATTAACGTCACCCATATCTTATTTTTCCCTCCAACTTTGACCTCCAATCTCATTTAAGTTTTCTATGTCAACACAGCATCTGGTACATGGTTCATGCTCAGTTAATATTTACTGGATGAGTGATTATGTTGTTTTCCCTGACTACTCTTGCCCACGCTAATCTCTCCTTTTACTGTTCTCCAACCCCACTTAGAGTCTACACATCATTAGGGCAGGATTCTTCAATTCATGGTGGACCATGAAAAATAATGGCACTTGGAAAGAGCCTCACCATTAACATCTTTTGCAGGCTCCTTGGGAAATGTTCGAAGACAGAAATTTCTAAATTAAATTGTTTAAAATATTTTTATTGATATGAGACATACAGAAACATACCTAAAACATAAGTATATAGACAATAACTTATCAAAGTGAACACATGAGTTTAACATTGTCAGCACCCAGGAGCCCCTCTCCTGCTTCCTCCCAATACTTCTCCATACCCTCCTGCAAAAGGTTTAAAACTGAGTTTTAGTGATATTTAGAGTAAAGTATCCCCTCCTCGCCCTCTATCAACAAAGACAAAAGGCACAAGGTTACCATTCTATCTGCCCTGCCCAAGAAATGAACTTGAATTCCACAACCTCATATTTGATTATATACTACTTTAACTGTTTTATAAAGGTAGTCATCACAACAGACAATAAACACAAGAGTGAGGATTAATTTCCTTTTCTGTCCCCTTTCTCCACAATTAACACAGAAGATTAAGAAATGTGTTAAAAATGTACCACTTAATATAAAATTATTCCTTAGAATAAAAACTAAGCACACACTTGTTTAAGCCCTGTCAGAAAGGCAGTAACTCTCACTTCTCATTATGATTAAAGAACTTTAAGTTGTTACAGGTCCAAAGGCAAAGGAAGACTTCAAAAAGTCCAATTAATAAGTTTCGTGGAACCTCTGAGAATCGTCATTTATACCATGCAACCCAGAACTCTAAACCAAGACTACTTTTTACCACTTTGGAATGAAACATCTCTCACCATAATGAGGCAACTCTATATTTTCCACTATTTTTTTAGAGAAATCTCCCAAGGTAAGCTGAAGCTGCCAAGTTTCTTACAGGGATTTTTCAGCCATTCTATGACTCTGGAGCTAGAATTCCCACCAATTTGACATAAGGAGGGCAAGCCCAGATTTGTGTCACTCACATGTGACTCCAAGGTATTAGTGACGTTATAGAACAAATTATTATTGCTTCAGTACCTAGACCTCCAAATCCAAATAAAAAACAATGTGTACAAGATAATAAAAATCAATATGTACAAGGATAGGTACTTTTATGCTCAATTTAAATGATTCAATTCACAGCATTTTATTTAGCCAACAAATATTTGAGGAGTAACCCCATGTGCTAGGCACTGAAGTTTCAAAAAAGGATTTAAAAATCGTACTTGTCCTCAATGAGCTGTCGGTCTAATGGAAGAGGTGAATAGTGAACAACTGATTTTTTGTTCTAAGTGTGAAAATGATAATTATAGTAATGTGTGAGAGTGTTATGATGAGGGTGTTCTAGGAGCACAGAGGAGGTGCACCAAAATGGACTGGGGAGAAGAGGCATTTAGGAAATGTTTCTCAAGAGAATGTTTGGGAGACCTAAGCCGCGTCTTCATGGACAAACAAGAGTTAGCCAGGCAAAACAGAAGAGGGAATAAATAAAAAGGCACAGGGTATAAGAGAACATGTCTCAGTTGTGACATATAGGTGAGCACAGCTGGAACACAGAAGTGAGGAGGGGAGATACAAAACGGAAGAGAATGGTAAGAGTCAGATCGGGGGGACACAGTATTTCACAGTAAGAAACTCCGACTTTTTCAAGCTCCAGGCAAGGGGGAGCCATTGAAGGATTTAAAATAAAGGAGTGACATGAATTAGAGGAAGCAGGACTATAGAAAGGGAGACCAAATGAGGGGTTGCTGTTGAGAATGATAATTGTGGTACAGGAGAGAATAATGGTTATGGGTACAGGCTTTGAAGTCAGATAGTCTTGAGTTCTAATCCTGGCTCAACCTCTCTATGATTTACTAGCTGTGTAACCTTATGTAAGATCATCTAAGTCTTAATTGTCTCATATATAAAATTGGGATAAAACTACCCTCCTCGGGGTGCCTGGGTGGCTCAGTCAGTTGGGTGTCCAACTCTTGGTTTCAGCTCAGGTCATGACCTTTGGGTCCTGGAATCAAGCCCCACGCTGAGCTCCCCACTCAGCATGGAGTCTGCTTGAGGATTCTCTCTCCTTCTCCCCTCCCTCCACACTCTCTCTCAAATAAATAAGTAAATCTTTTTTTAGAAAACCTACTCTCTTCACAGAGTTTTTATGGATTAAATTATTTGATGTATATAAAAAGCACATAAGCCACACTCAATAAATTGTGCTGATACTAATCATCAAAAGGGCTTGACAGGATGAAGTCTATGGGACAAAAAAGAAATATGTGCATTAAAAGACATATACCAGAATGTTCCAACAGCAGTATTCTTAAAAGCCCAAACTATATACAAGCCAAACATCCATCAATAGTAGAATACATAAAGTGTGGTATAGTCAAACAATGAACTTTTTTTTAAGAATTTATATTTTTTAATTTATTTTTGAAGATTTTATTTATTTATTTGACAGAGAGACAGATAGCGAGAGAGGGAACACAAGCAGGGGGAGTGGGAGAGGGAGAACAGGTTTCCCGCGGAGCAGGGAGCCCGATGTGGGGCTGGATCCCAGGATCCTTGGATCATGACCTGAGCCGAAGGCAGACGCTTAATGACTAAGCCACCCAGGCGCCCCTCAAACAATGAACTTTTATACAGAAATGAGAATGAATGATCTACTGTTACAACATGGATGAATCTCAAAAACACAATACTGAACAAAATAAAAGCAGCCAGACCTAAGAGAACATATGTATGATTTCATTTTTACAATACAGTTTAAAAACAAGCAAAGCTAACTGACGGTAATAGATGTCAGGAAGACATCTGTTACTTTTACCGGGTGGGGTAGGAGTAATGATTGTTAGGGGATGGAGGGAGTGACTGGGAGGGGGCACAAAAGGGGATTCTGGAGTCCTGGTAATGTTTATTTTCTTAATCTTGGGGGTATTTACAGATGTGTTCACTTTGTAAAAATTCTCTGAAATACGCATGTATGATTTACACACTTTCCTGTATTATGTTAGACTAATAAACAGTGAGGAAGTAGAGATAGTTATATGTAAACCAATTTCTCAAGAGAATGGTTTTGAAGGAGAGGTGAAAGAGAGGGTTATAAGCTAGGGGAAAAAGATAGGAATTAACTTATAAAATAACAAAATATTGAGAGGACAAAAGTTATAGAACTGTATCTTATCGGGGTCTTTTTTTTTTTTAAAGATTTTATTTATTTATTTGAGAGAGAGAATGAGATAGAGCATGAGAGGGGGGAGGGTCAGAGGGAGAAGCAGACCCCCCGCTGAGCAGGGAGCCCGATGCGGGACTCGATCCCGGGACTCCAGGATCATGACCTGAGCCGAAGGCAGTCGCTTAGCCAACTGAGCCACCCAGGCGCCCTCGGGGTCTTTTTTTTTAAAGATTTTATTTATTTATTTGAGAAAGAGAGCATGAGAGAGAGAGCACACACGAGCAGCGAGCCCGATGCGGACTTGATCCAAGGGACCCTGGGATCATGACCTGGGCCAAAGCCAGGCACTTAACCAACTGAGCCACTCAGGCACCCATCTTATTAGGGTTCTTAAGATGTCCCCAAAATAGCAAGTCTGGATAATCTTCTGGTTTCTATTTGAATACCTTCAGTTGCAAGGATTCCCTTTATTTATTTATTTTTTTAAGGATTCCCTTTTAAGGGTCCATTTTGCCGAACATTTCTTGTGAGTTAAATAAATTAACACTTTATTTATTTATTAAATTAACATTTTAAACAGAATTTAAATTGTGCTTTAAAAAGTATCACATTCCTTCTTGAGCTTAAAAAATGTTTCGAAATAATAGAGATGAATAACAGTAATAGCCTGAAACAGATCTCTATTCATTCAACTGAAGAATTACAGGTCTCACATGTACTCTCCTACTTTAAAACACCTTCTCACATGTTGTCCCTTTCACTTGGAATACTCTATCCCAATTTCTTCACCTGGAAGACTCTTGACTATCTCTTATAATTCAGATCTTATGTTACCTTCGCAGAAAACCCTTTCTTTGTGGGTGCCCATCTTACTGCTGCCCCCTCATCAGTCTGGGAGCTTCCTGAGCAAAGAGACTATGTCTTTTATAGCTCTGCCTGGCACAAGGCACATGCTGTCTACTCAATAAATGTTTGATGAATAAATGAATAAACAAATGAAAAATGCTACTGAAATAAACCAGTATAGAGATGATAAAGTTTCAACTAAGGCAATGTCACTTAAGTAAGTAAAATGACTAGGAACTTTTCATATCTTTTGTGGCAATATAACCTTAGGTCATAAAGTTTTAAGAAAAAACCCTAAGAAAGGACATGCCCTGAGTTGGCCATCAGCTACCTTTATCTGGAGGTCCTAAAA